TGTTACCAATAAAAGTTAGCAACATTTTTGTAATTAACAAAACTAAGGCTAAAGTGGAGATTAAAAGTTTGATGCCTCTTAGATTTAATTAAACTTTCTCATATTCTTGAGCGATTTAAAATTTGAACTTCACACTATTTCATACTATTCAACCTCCTTTGACATTAACATCCATCGGAATGGATGTTAATGAAGCCTGCTGCCTAGCAACATTAGCAACATCTCAGTCAATAAATATGTATGGCAAATTTTAGAAATGTTTCTGTTTCATTGTGCTATTTGGTATGTTGGAAACCCATAACTCTAATCTTCTCTGGAATATGGTATGTTTTAAATGTGTAAACACCTAAAATGTGCTTCTTATCTCAAACATCAAAGAGCATGTTCCTGATACTGAGAATTATTTCAGCTAAATTGTTGATGTCTGTGTCTGTTTTTGTGTTTTTACAGGAGCTGGAAAATGCATTGGCAGTGGAGAACATGGAACTTCAGGAGCAGCAATCAGACTGTAAGGACTTAGAAGAGACCATGGTGAAATTTGAGAAACACAAAGAGAAATTGATCCAGCAGATAAAGGCAACCAGACAACTCTGCTATGAAGAAAGTCAAAAGGTAACAAAGACTTACTTGTGTAGGGTGAATTATTTGCCCATTACTATGAAAAGGGATCCAATGAGATGAATTTTGTTCTGGTCTGACCTAAGCTTCTTCTTCCACATGTTTGCCTTGTCCAACATGGCTTCTGGAAAACTGCAAAAAGTTTTAGTTCTAGGTTTTCTTTTAATGGCTTTCTTCTTGCACATTTGTGCAGTGATGACTAATAGTTGTCCTGTGGATAGATTCCTCCTCTGAGCTGTGAATCTCTGCCTTTGGTCCAGAGTCACCATGGGCCTGATTCAGATGTTTTGATAATTTTCTTTCTACTTCACATAAAATTCCATCCATCCATTGATCCATTTTCTGTACAGCCTTGTCCCTAGCGGGGTCAGGAGGGGTGTTGCTGCCTATCGCCAGCAACTGTTTTGGGTGAGAGGCGGGGTAAACCCTTGACAGGTCGCTAGTTCATCGCAGACATAAAATTCCAATTATATATATTAATGTTTGTGGTTGCAATGTGGCAAAATATGGAAAAGTTCAAGGGGTATGAATAGTTTTGAAGCCATTGTATACATAAAGGCGTGATTTTATTGCTCATTATTAATAAATGGTGCTTATGTTGATTTGCAGATAAATTTGAAGTGAATATTAACTTCCATATGACCTAATGCTAAGCAAAAACATTTTTTAAAACTGAATGAGCTTGTTTGTTCATAGATACTATCCTTGCAAGCAGAAGAAGCACAAAATGAGAGCCAGGTGGAGGAGTATGAAAGAGAACTTGCCCGAGCTCGGTGGAGGCTGAAAAAGCTCAGGGAGGAGGTGAAGAGAGCAAAAAGGAAGGTGGAGGAGGCTCGAGAGAGAGACACTCCCCTCCAAGACTCCATCAGACAGTCTTATGAAGAGATCCTGCAGGTAAGAAGGAACAGCATGTTAATGACTTCTTCTGTTATTTAATTTCCTTTTGGGATCAATAAAAGTATTTTTTGAATAGAATTAAAATGAATTTGAATATAGGTGGTGGAAAATGTAACAGCTGTTGGATAGATTGCCATACTACGCTGACATTCCAAACCTGATGATGATTTCCAATAAATAGAATGAAAAACATGGTTAACCTCTAAAGCCGTTTTCGGACTGCAAGGGACGGAACGGATCGGCACGCTTCGGTCTGGTTCCACCCGAACTGCAGCCCTGTTGTGTTTGCATATAACTGAGGGCGGCATCGAAGCTGTACCTGACGTCATTATTTTTTGAAACTAAACAATGGTTTCGATGTAGCGGCCGAAGCCTTCTCCTCAGAGATGCGGCAGAAAACTTTCTCATTCCTCGTTGACCGATCTAACTCATTCTGTACTCGTTCATCAGGGAGTAAGCGGAGGAAAAAAAATGACCTCATCATGGGACCAGGTAGCAGCAGAATATTGAGAGGAATTCATTGCAAATTAAAAATAATAATAATAATAATAATAATAACAAAAATATTAAAAAGAGCACTCTTTACAAAATACAGTATGAACAGTTTAGTGAGAGCCAGCTAGAACCGATCAACGGTTGACTCTAGACCAATCAGCTGCTGATTCTAAGCGGCCCCATTTGGCCGGTGGGATTGGAACCACAACTCTGTGGTTCCAAGGAGCCGGGTGGAACCGGGTCGGAAGTTCTAATGCAAACACGGTCGGCCCTACTTTGAACCTGTACCGTTCCTTTCCTTGCAGTGCGAAAACGGCGTAAGTCTCTGAGTCTATTTAAAGAATACAATCTCCCACTGTAGGCAGGAGCACAACATAATAAAAGGATTTTTCCTCTTTAACAGATTATTTAGGTGAACACTCAGATATCTGGAAGAACAGACCTGGTTTATTTCTTGGTCATGACTATAAAAAGTTGTCACCTAGAGACCTGGGGACAGTCAGGATTTTCTGGCACTGGTAACAAGGTGGTGGTCATCACACCACTGAACAAAGGACTGGACCTCGTTAATATACATTATATTGCCAAACATATTTGCTCACCCATCCAAATGATCAGAATATGGTGTTCCAATCACTTCCATGGCCACTGGTGTATAAAATGAAACACCTCAGCATACAGACTGTTTTTACAAACATTTGTGAAAGAATGGCTCGTTCTCAGGAGCTCAGTGAATTCCATCATGGAACTGTGATAGCAGCTGCATCCAAGCCATGCATCACAAAGTGTTATGCTAAGCATTGGATGCAGTGGTATCTGGAGTGACAAAAATGGTCACATTTAAGAATGGTCAAAAATCCCCATAAACACATTCCTAAGCCTTGTGGACAGCCTCCCCAGAAGAGTTGAAGCTGTTCTAGCTGCAGTGGTGGACCAACATCATATTGAACCCTATGGACTAGGAATGGGATGTCACTTAAGCTCATATGCGAGTCAGAGCAGGTGAGCGAATACTTTTGGCAATATGGTGTATGTTGAGGAGTTCATGTCTTCATACAGCAAGCCAAGAATAGTAGTTTTGTCAGAGAATTTAAAAACATAGTTCCTAGGGCAACTGCTGATGCAATTGTTTGTGTAAATAGTGAAGAAGACAGAAGTAACACAGCCTTAGTGAACTCCAGTGATGATGGACCTTGGCTCTGACAGGGTGTTGACTCTAACAAGCTGTGATATGTTTGTTAAAAAAATAATAAAACCATTCAATAAGAGGAGGAGTAAAACTCATGAAAAGGTCAAGTCAATTTAGAATGGTAATTTAAACAAATATGAATGTTTTTGAGCTGTGGGGAAAACCTGGAGAAAATCTATGCATGTAAAGACATAATACAAACTTCACACAGAAACATCTTGATTTAGCAATTTTCAGACCTTCAAAAGCCTTTTGCTGTGATGAGAAAATACTACAGTTCTTGTAGGGCAATGGTGGCAATGTTTGTAGGAGTTCATCCCACAATCGGGTTGCTGGTTCGATCCCCGCTTCACCTGCCTCCATCATTGTGTCCTTGGACAAGACACTTCACCCACCTTGCCTACTGTTGGTGGTCAGCTGGCCAGGTGGTGCCAGTGCATGGCAGCCTCGCTTCTGTCAGACAGCCCCAGGGAAGCTGTGGCTACTACCCAGTAGCTTGCCACAATGAACGTGTGTGTGTGAATGGATGAATGACTGTAGTGTGAAGCACTACACAAGTACAAAGCCAAGCCATAAGCCATTGTGATCCTTTTGCATATGTCAAGACTGAAAAAATGACAGACGTTAGAAGATATACTTAGTATTGTTGAGTAAACTTCCTCTGACTCCCCAAGTGTTAACATTCTTCTGACAACGCAATGGTGAAGGAGGAGCAGCAGTAGTTTTGCGGTCAGGTTTATAAATTACACTTACATAAGTTACAACTGTTCCAAAATGAACAATAAACGGCAAACATGGCAACAACATCCCACATTATGAACCCTCTATCACTTTGTGCTGGTTTGCTGTGTTTTGTTTTCCCAAATATGATACAATATGATACTGTGCATTATAACCAAACTTTTATATCTAGGCTCCAAATGACATTCCAAAATCATTCCAAAAGTAATGTTTGTTATTTAATATAATTTTGCAAATCTAATGCTATTGTTCACTCAAGCAGGTCGAGAACTTAACCAGGATTGGAGAAGGAGCTGACTGGTCATTAGGAGCAGGTGGTGCTGTGCCACCACCCACTTTTCATCCAAGCAAAAGCAACATGTAGCTCTAAAATTAATACACATACAGTCATGTCAATAAATTAGAATATGCTTCCAATGAGGCTTATTGGACAATTTAAAGTTTTCTTTTGAAAATAACCTCAAAGAACGTTATCTCCTATAAGACCCACCT